CATACTTCTACTGTTTCTCTTCCCTTGGTTTTTTTCTTCATTTGCTGACGTAAAGACTGGTTTCTGACTAAACCAGCACTGCTATTGGGGAACATTGCTAGCTAACAATCTGGAGATTCTGTCTCATCTTTTTTTGGTTCTAGTGACAACTGCACACCCCTTTTGGTACTGATTTTTAGGTATATTGACTTTTATATTTCTGCCATTATGGTTTGCTAAATCACTCTTCTGCCGAAATCCACATCAACAACTCACCGATTCTAAGACCAGGCCTAGGCCAGGAGCTCTTGGGATGTCTAACTTGTCCCCTTCAAAGGCCCTCTCCAAGGTCTCTTTGGGAGTGAAGCCCTTAACAATTGCAATCACTAGTCCTAACAAAACAAAAATCACATTTGTATTGGTGTTTCACTGGCAAGCTTTCCAACCAGAAACCATTTAGCATTATTATAAAACCCTGCTGAAAAATTTGGAATGGAATGGAATACGGAACATCTTTAACTCTGAATGTACATTTCAGACAATGTTAGCCTCAACTGAGATGCACTCACCAATCATCTTCCTGATTTGATGCAGCACAAAACTTTGACCCCTGACCTTTAGGACGACAAATTCCAGGCCTTGATCCATGAAAGGTTCACCACAAGTGAACTCACGGATGTAGCGGTAGGCACTTGGGTCTTTGAACGCTCTGAGAGGAAAGAGAAGCATTTTCTCTTGGAAACTCTCTACTCTTCATAGGAAATGTCACAAATGCATACGGTTAAATTGCTGACCCATTTTAAAAGACTCATATCTAGTTTCAGTGAGAGACTCTTGGCTGGCTTACTTTCCAGATGTAAAGTTGTGGAAGTTGTGCGTTCCAGGGTACAGAGCTAGAAGGTCCTTGACTTCAGTTAGCTTCTCCGCTAGAGCAACAAGAATAAGAACTTGTTATGAAACATGTTGGGCAGTTAGCGAATTCAAGCTTGTCAGTGTGTGCATTCAATGTATACAAGCACAGTCGGTTGTCCTGCTCAGATGGAACATCTCCATCCTACCTGTGATTCTGTAGCTTTCTGTGGTGATCTCCTCCACTGGTTCAAAGGCAAAGGTGGGCAGCATGTATATGTAGGTGCGAAAGTCGCAGTTGTGCTTGGAGTTGAAGCTACCTGTGGTTCGCTTGATTCCTGTAAAGCAAGCAGGACAAAAATCTTTTGTGGAAATCTTAAAAGTATCGACCCTTTTGCAAGAGGTTACTGGTGATATTTTCATGAATTTCTTTCTCAGGAACATTATTTCTGCATCCACATTTCTAAGTGGCCTATACTCATTCTGCTGGAGGGAGGCAAAAGCGAATGTAGCAATACTTACCCATGACCCTGATGCAAGGTGGCAGATATTCGTTGATCTGTTCCACCACATTGTCAAATATTCTCATCTTGAGGGACACAACTTGTCCAATGGCCGACACACCCTTGTCTGTCCGGGCACAGCGCTGGAAGGCCATCTTGCCAAAGTTCTGGGCCTGCTCCTCTGTGATGGCTTGGCACTTCAACAAGGCTTTGGCTAGATCTTCCTCGATTGTCTTCTCACCAGGATTTCTGCCGAGAGAATCGCTCAGTATTGCATGCAACTGATACTTAGGGGCTGTTTTATGTTGCTTTGAAAGCACTGGGATGTTCAAGAACCTTCCTGAATTCACTAGGTGCACTCTTTGTAATTCAACTTTGAGACACATCAAGTCAAATTTTCTAAGAGTGGCTGGCTGTATCTTTCTCAACCCTGCAAAGTCCTCTAAAACCTAATGGATTTGAAGAATCTAGGGGTATTGGGTTAATAATAAATTGACCTATTTTAAAACTGATGTTTGATTTTAAAGTTGAAGTTGTACATTCTTTAATATTGATTTCTGTGATTTCTAACTGAATGCACTTTAAGCAGTTACAAAAATTTTCCTGGACAGGGATAAACGAAACTTGGTGATCCTTCACCCAACTAACATGGCTGATATTTCTCCTCCCCCTTCATCCTGCACTGCCCCCATTCTCACTCCATCTCACAGTCTCTTACCTCTGCATGCCCTTGTAGCCTACTCCTGAGTAGGCAAGTAACATGGCCACTTTCCTCTTGACATACTTAAAGGAAGGTGCATTGCTGCTCTCATCCTGTGTACAGCGTGAGAGATGATTTGAGTTCAAAATGAAGTACTGATTAACTTATGTCACTAGAAACACCTAAATGAGAACACAGAATGTTTAAAAGGCATGTATTGGTTGGAACCAGGCATTTTGGCTGTGGCTTCAGTTTTGCCAATACAGTGAAGATTTGAAAAGGCATTGAGACAAAAATTATATAAATGAAATGGCAGAAGACGTATTTGCTTTTCAAATAGTGAGTGCATGACTAAATTTTTATTGAGGTCTAAATGAGGCAAAATATTTCAGAGAACATCTGACAGTGTATTCACTAACCTCAGTCTTGAGTTTTTTTGGTTCTGGCTCATCAAAACTAGCAGTTGTTGTACTAGTGGCTGCTACTTTGGCTTCAGAAGACACTGAAACAGTGGCTGCAACAGAGACTAACATGGAGGCTGCAGAGTTGGCTGTAGTTGTGACTTGGGCTGGAGAGGAACCTGAACTCTTCTGCTCGTCTGATTCCAGTAAGCGTTTGTTACCATTCGACACCTTGCTGTCCTCTGGTGATTGGCTCACCATGGCAACTGCGGCAGTTTCCTTGGGAACTGAGTCAGCCATGTTGAAAAGTGGCAGGACTGTGCGGAGACGGAACAAGCCTCGGTGTAGCCTTGTAACCAGCATTGACTGCTATGAGAGTGGCCAGCGCTTGCTACCAACAGGAATCCACAAACAGTAATGTGGGTGCACAGGTATAACCACACGCTTTAGCAACTTCAGATCTTAAAAAGTCTGCAAAACAAAATCATGAGAACTACTTTGAAACCACGTGAGTAGAAACCTCTCTAAGCACGTGTCTGTCTTTGACAAGTACATGTACATGCATGTTCAATGACACGGCCTTCGTAATGTCCACCCCCCTCCTCTCTTTTTACAATATTTTTGAAGCACAAGTTTCTTATAAATGTACAGTTTTTCAGAAATGACTTCAGAACCTGGCTCTAAAAAGCACTTGGAGCGATTCTGAGGAGCTTTTTAAATACAAGATAATCTGGCATGTTAAACATATATGTACAATGTATGTACATGTAGGAGTGTAAAACAAAAGCTGCAGAAGAAATTTCTTACAAGAAGCCACATACATGTATGACATGCACATAAGCGTGCACAACTTTATTGCAAACATATCACTAACTGCAATGCAAAGTATTAAATCTCCACATTTTTTCAAATTACTCAATACTCAATGCTACAGGCTTTCCTTTCCTATATTTGGGGAATCAACCAAAACTTTACACTGTTCTACATGTGATTCAGATTTTTAAAAATGTGATCAAATGCTTTGTTTACATTAAAAAAATCTTAGTTATTTTCAACTGTTATATACCCAACTTTCAGATCAAAGCAGTGTGGCTTCTGGCTAGATGAATGCTAGATAAAATACGGGTGTTTCACAATAGTGCACCACCAAGAGACTGCAACGCGTTGACCAATCACAGTGCGCGAAATTTGTCGACCTAATGCACGTTTGGAAAGGGTTGACAAATTTCGCGCGCTGTGATTGGCCAACGCGTTGCAAACTCATGGTGGCGCACAATTGCGAATAGCCCCTATTGAGGTTTGAGAATGCTCTCAGCATATTCAAGTACACAGTGTAAATTACAAATACACCAGTATTTCTTCTTCTTTAATAAAGCCAAAAAACAGGGGCCAATTTCCTTAACGGTCCTTTTCTCAGTTACTCTTAAACATTTGAATATACTGTAATTTCAGTTAAACAGAATAATCAATTTAAACATATTACATACCAAACAAACAGACTTTTTACTCTATTACAACAGACACACAGTATCCCCCGTTCAGAATTCTGCAAACAAAGCTAGCTTCAGCAACAAGAATTGAAAAGGCCATTTTTGGCTCTCTGTTTTAATGCTAAGTCATCAGTCTAATTTCCTTGGTAATTTTGAATGGATCTCATGATTGTACACATAGCTGACAATTTTTGACAATTTGGAATTGTTTTTACAGGGTCAAAAACACTCGAGTGGTTCTATTTTTAGAGTTACAATGTTCAATTTTTAAACTTGCTTCCATACAACGAGCCATAACATGAGCCAGTTTGGAAACACAACCATGGTAGCTAAGCCATAAGACCAGTTCCCATATAGGTAGCCATCTACTACTGATCTGTACATGGCATGCTTGGACATCTGAAGAGTGACCGACAGTAGTTCTGTGATGTCTACAATGGGTGAGGTGGCTGCATTGTAAATAGCTAGAAACAGGAAGAGGAGTATTGGTGGGGAGATGAGGAGGAGAAGAATGGCATTCAGGAGACGGAACAGGGTCCTGGATGATGGCCTGATGACGGCACTGATGGGAACCATGGCAACGCTGAGGAAGAATGCCAGGGAGAAATTGATCATGGAGATAGCGGACAGGATAACAGCCTGCCAGATGAGGGCCACCGACTTCAGCAGCTGCCACTCGGCAGTGGCCTGGCCTGGATCAGAAGGGGAGGACATCTTCCGGCGGATGATATGCGGAAGCATGATGCTGCCCACAAAGAGCCCCATCACGCCCAGACTGACAATCTCTTCTGGAGTTAACTTGAAGGCAGTAGCCAGTCGACTCATGAAGAACTCAGGGCTGATATACAGCAGGGCACCGGTCACTGATGCTCCGATGAGAAGAGGCATGATGGTACTGAATGGCCGAGGGACAAAATCCTCCATGCTCTCTGAATCAGTCTTTGGCTTGTCCTTTCCCACGTCCTGATCTTGTGCCGATTTGGAAATGTTACCAGATGTGATCCAGAGGGCGAGACCATTCAGCAGAGGAACCATCATAAGCAGGGCAAAGGGTGGCATGTAGAGACCAATGGAGACGTAACGGTCACAATTCGGGAGGACATAGAAAAAGAAGGACTGGTGCAGCCGCTCTAGGAGGTTGTTGATGCTTCTTATCACACCTTCCAAGACACGACCGACCATTTGCATACTCTTGCTGCCAGATTTCTGGCCTGCTGCTGCTTTGATGGTAATGGCCTCTATGTGGTAATGGAGGAACAGTCCATGTATACTGCGGGGTTGTCCTGTTGCCTGATGAGCCATATTCAGCAGCATGGTCTTGACAGATTTCTCATACCCTTCCCTGGTGAGGCGTTGGTTGTTACCGCTGTCCACCTGGCCCTGGAAGGAAGCCTGTACCCCTTCCTTGCTGCACAGCCGCACAACCAGGTTGAAGAGGTCTAAGTTGGGCAGGTGGCCGTTGATGCCCTCTGTCACCAGGTCTAGGCGTCTGACACGGGCCACACCCACCTCCAGGTTGACCGCTCCCATGATAGCTCCGCTGCGCCCTTGCATGATTGACGAACTAATGTAATTCGAGGGGATACCCTGATAGGCTTCTAGCCAGGCTTGGATGCCCATATCTTCCTGATCAACCACCAGGAAGATAACATCCTTGGACCAGTACGTCTTGGTCCTGAAAAACTTTGCTAAGGACAGCATGAGCCCTATCCCGTAGTGCGTGTCACCGCGTTCCTGTGCTGCCTTACTACTACGATATGGCACCAACATGACTATCGCCTCAGTGCCTGCAATTCTTGGAGCTCTCAGGATGGCATACACATTTGTTCCCTGGATGACTTGAGGCACTCGCCGGTTCCCAATGACTTCAGTTTGTAAGAAAGGATGTCTGATGCTGAAATTCTGGGTGAAGGTATCCAGACCAAGCTCAGTGAATTTGGTTTCCATGTACCTGACTGGCAAACCCTCAATGCTTTCGACGGCCCTTTTGTATTCCTCCGCCAGCTGCTCCACATTGTAGCTGTTATCCCCATACTCACGGTCCACCAAACCTGGCAGCAAGGCATTCTCAGAGAAGTAAGTGCCAGCGTTCAGTGGTGGGTAGGCCAGGGCCAACATATAGGCCATGCCAGCCAAGTAGCATAGGAGGCTGCCTGCCTTGTGGAAACGGCTGATGAAATTGGATAGGAATGCCTGTGTTTTTGGATCAGTCATGAGCCCCATGGCTGCAACTAGACTAGCCTTCCAGTCCTTTGCCCCGACGATGGATCAGTATTTCTTAGAATCCTCTGAAGATTTTGTGATCTGCAGGGGCAACAAATGAACGAAGACATTCGTCATCATCATCACCATTCAATCACTCAAGACCTTTAATGATTTGCATCCAAGATAGCAACACAAGTTCAGCAGTCGCCAATTCCAAGGTGTACCCTTGCTTTCCTCCTGCTGGAAAATGTCTTGTTTTTGTACATTATGAAGAACTTTGATTATACAATGAAAACTTGTACAGATGCAAATCTAAATTATGTACAAGTACATTATTGGCTAAGTATAAAAAATTCGTCGGGGAAAGGTTATGTGGGAAAAAAACTCAGGGTTTTAGCTTGTATCTCTATCTTACTTCAGAGAAAAAATATCAAATCTATTCATAAATTCACACATTAGGGCAAAGCTATACATGTGATGTGAATCTCACATCACAATGCCTGTGCAATTTATCAAAGTATAACACTAAATTCAAATTTACATTCTTTATGTATACACTGTACAGATGAACTGACATTCTATCAATGATAGGAGCAGATTTGTGCTAACTTCCATATTGCTTTGTCCTTATGAGTTTATCATCTACTTACAAATACGGCCATATGTATCTTCTGCAACCAAATTCAAAGAATTTGTGCAAGTTCAAATTATTTGTGCTCAATATCAATTCTAGATCAATCAGCTTGGGAACTAACAATACAACGTTTGAGAGAAAATGGTAAAAAACAGACAAAAGAGCACTTAACCTTCCTTTGTAGTAACAGTCACAATACCCTTAGAACTCTGGGGTTTGTTCTCCATCATGCTCTTCAGTTCGATGGATGACGAATGCTAGAGTCCTAGGGTAACACTATGTCTTTTTCATAAAAAAATCAAAATACCTCTCTTTTGTACACTACAGGGCTCGAAATTGGGCTAAACATCACAGGAGCAATGCATACTTGCTAGGCAGCTGAATTTGTCAGTTTACGGGAGCAAGTAGCTCCTGTACAATGTTAAAGACATATGTTCAAGAAAAAAAAGCAAAGACCCTGGTCCTCGCTGTTGCTTTTGTTTAAATTAATGACACTGATAACTTACGGCTTAGACTTTGGCAGAGATTAAAGCCTTGATCGAGTTGTTATTTTTGCGGGTTGTACGCAACATACAACTAGTATGCGACCAACCGGAACCTCAAACATGTACTTAGCGATGCTATGCAAAAAGTCAGGCACTGGGCCTTTATAATGTACATATGTACACAGACGTAAAAGGGAACTAACTGCAGCACTCCAGTGTTTTTGAAACGAGTGGATTAGGCTGAGACTTTGGTTTTGCTGGTTTCAGCTATTTTGGCGCATGGTTCAAGCTATGACTGGAATCTGCAAAACTGAAGTCTGAGCCGAATCCACTCGTTTGGCTTGAATTTATGCATGACTCTAGGGTGTTGTGGTTGGGCCAGTTTCCATACAATCATGTGTAAATTTCAGCTGTATCGATTCAGACAACGTTACTGTGCAGACCATTCAGCGAGGTCGTGACACTGGCTGCAGGTATGCGCGTGTGTACGTTTATGTTGTGCATGCATTGCATGCGAGACTGCGGTGTGTGCTCGGTGACATTGTAAAAAAATTGTACCGTGTTATGGTTCTGTGACAAGGCTGATCCAAAGTGAAGTCAATGAGTTCAGGTATTTTTCATGACAAAAGTAGAAACAAAGTACAAACGGTAAAAATGTTCAGGTACATGGTGCGTATGCACTTGCGCCCGTCATGATTTATGGGCGCATTTCAGAGACAAAATGGTGCATTTTAACTACCTGCGCCCATTAATTTCGCACCCTGCACAACACCAATATGGGTCATTTGACTGATACCAGGTTAATTTGCCAAGAATGCATCTTTGTGTAGGACGGTTTAAAAAGGCTTAAAGACAGATATCTATATCTCACAACTGACACACTGTCACATCATTCTGTGTTATTATTCTTATCCATACAAAGTCCTGTAACTTAAACAGCGCCCTCAACTGTATGCATGACTGCCTTGACTTGAGCTGATCACGTTATCACGCGTGCATCATCAGTTTACACTCTCTCTACCATGATCCGACCGAGTGATGGCATTTATTTCAGATTCGTATAAAGATTAAAAAAGAATACAAGAACTGGTGATACATTTCGTGATCTCATATCACACTAAACACAAAAATACCTCGTCAGCACTGCCGCGGTGTCTCAGCTCCCTTTCTGTTGAAGTAAACTTTAGTCAGGTAGCACGTCTTCACCAATCTTCGGTAATATTGCTTATGAGTTCCGTTACCAGACCAGAAGCGGCACATGTGAACTGGTACCTGAGGTCCATTTGTAGTATTAAATGAATCCAATTCCTCTTCTTTTTGGTACCCTACTAAGACCCGTCTCGGATGATTTCATTATATTTTAGAGGTTGGTTCTAGAGATAGTACTCACAAATAATTATGAAAGTGATTAATTGGTCAATCATATTTTCCTTTAGACCTGCAGACAGACTTTTCAAAATGTGACAAATTTTATTTTTAGGACTATCTTGAAGATTAATGAAGTTTTTTACCTTAGAAAAACTGTGCTGCAACCCCAGAGGGAAAATGTTAACAAATTCTATTTTTAGATCACGGGTATTCTTTCGCATTTACAAAAACACAGCCAAATATGTGCTGCGCTGTGCATACATATCTAGCTGCGCCAAGCTTCGTGCATTTCCTGTGACCTCCACAGCCGTTCTTCCGCAGTACACTGCAAGTGCTGATTCCAACACAGTTTCTCCAGAAGTTTGATTACAGTTTTGTCAAAAAGAGTACAATTGAATGTAAGTATTTAAATCGTCAAATTTGTCATGAAATTGCATTGAAATTGTCATTTCATTTTCATTTCTTTTATCATCTGATCATGTTTATACATGATACAGTCGAGCTATTATATGCAATCACACGTATGAAGCCAAACCTCGGTTCACAACCATGCACAATGCATGACATCTAGATGCTCAACCAACCGTAAAAACTTCACGTGTGAAATTAGGCTCCTAAAACATTCGGGCTTTATTTTCCTTTAAAAAAAGGACCTCCCTGCCCACAATTTTGACCCGGGATTCGAACCCACACCCCATGGATCACAATCCATTATGCCATAACCGCTTGACTACCGCACTTCACACAGGTTGATGGTGTTTTTACTGTTGATATAACGATGAACGGCGGCAACGCAAGTCTAATACACATTGGGCATGCGCAATACAAACACAACCACCGTGGTTTGGCTTCATACGTATGGTTGCATATATATCTCATACTGTTAGGATACATTGCTTCCTGAACGGTAAGGTGAGCTCTCAAAGTAGTATAACATTAGCATGGTTAGGGCAAAAGGTAGGCAAAAGGGACATCAAGATATGCCTATGCGGTCACGGGGATGATTTTTTTCGGGGGGGGGGGACATTTAGCGGTAGGGTGGGGTAGACCCATAAACAGGGCCGACATATTCTTTTCCGTCATATGACGAAGGAGTATAAGTCAAGCCCTATTTATGGGTCTAGGGGTGGGGTGGCATGGGAACAGGTACCCCCAGAACTGTGGGGTCCGACATTTGCCCCGCTCGTCGGACGTCGGACCCCACAGTTCTGGAGGTAGGGAACAGGCACAGGGAAAGAGTTCCAGATACGGACATCAGAAACCTTGTTTGCCATGTTAACAAGCCCTGGCTATGACTGTGAGCCTGGTCTGAAAAATCCCAAGTGTTTACAAAGTAGGCTCTAAATGTTTCAATATTTTCACTGCTAAAGTAGACTTTTGAGGCATGTTATTTTCTGATGGCTTGTAAACCACTGCAAAGGAAAATAAGTAATGTCTGTGTATGGAACTCTCACCAGGAACAGTTTTGTTTTACGTATTTTATTTGTGTAAACACATACATGTAAGAAGGACAGAACGTGAACGCAGGTGTCTTTATTTAACATTTCTCATTTCTTTCCCAGAAATCGCTTTTCCTCTATAATAAATAAATAGATACGGCAACAAAGCATTCCTTAGTTCGAGAGAAAAGCATCGGAATAAGAGAGCCATCATGGTGAAAAAGCTGGAAGACATGTGTCTGCAGTGCATTGGGCAAAACCTGAACAGCATTAGTCAAGTTGGCCGTTTGCTGACAACCAAACACAAGGAGCTCCTCCTGCAGAGGCTGGTGGACCACGACATGCTGACCCCAGAGTACCTGCCACATGTGACCTACCACCTGTTCTCACCGGCGCTACGCTCGGTGAGGTTCAAGGGATGTGAGCAGGTCACAGATGCCGTGCTGATGCAGTTGAATGCCTGTAAATGCCAGTTAGAATCACTGTACATTGCTTACTGTGATAATGTCACTGGTAAGTTGGGGTCCAGCAGTTGGATGTACATGTCAGTTTTTCAAACTAGCTCTTCTGAGATAATGGTACTGCCAAAATTTGAAAGCCCATATGCAATAGATTGGAACATGCTATATTTTCTCTTTGAAAATAAGAGTCCCGTATCCAGCCAACATAATTCTCAAGTTCAATTAATAAACACTAAATTAAAAGATATGGCTTTTAAACACTTTTTCTCAGATGATTTTTAGGTTGAGGTTAGATGATGGAGTTTGGGAATTCTGGTCACTTTTTATTTGGCATTGAGCCTATTTTTAGATTGAATTTCTAGAAGGCTAAGGCCGAAATGTTTAAAGCAACCGTCGTATTAACGTATTGTGGAGGAAGAGTTCCATATATGGACGCCAGTAATTCTTCCCTACAGTGACTTAATAGCCGTCAGAAAGCAAAAATATATCCAGAAAAAGTTCAATTTAGGAGGGAAACTACAAAGTTGTTTAGTGAGAAAACACTTAGAACTTTTCAGATCATTCTCATAGGGTTCGTGCACAGGGTGTCAAGTGGCGTCCATATATGGAACTCTTTCTTATTGTGGTACAATGAGCACATGGACTTAGAAAAGATGTCAGTGAAAGCAAGAGAATCTACAATCAGAATGCTTTGTAAAATAGTATTTGTACTGTTGAATGTCAAAAACTACTGCCCTCATGTTTGTTAAAGGATGTATTCATATGTATGACTGTAGATAGGGGGTGGGTATTGTGTCAGGTGGAATCACTCAATAATATTTGTGACCCAACATTCCAAAACCTGGCCAAAGTCAGTATCTGTGATGTTGGACAATTCCTCTCCGTCAGCTTTTTTTTAACACTTTAAAGTGATCCATGTTAAATCAAAATTCTGTCCTCAGAAAGCTTCTTACGGGTAGTGATAGCTGTAAAACTCCCATGAAAATCTGAACAGTGGAAGTTCCACTATTTTAGGGCTATGCTGTTACCTACTTCAGCCTGGTTTGGGGATGGTGGGTCACATTTTGCAGATTTATAATGTACACATCGAAGATTAGGCAGTGTTGCTGAGAACGGTGATGAAAAGGTACTCAAAACTTAAAAGAAAAAAGAAATGTGCACAGGTGAATTTACAAGCTTTCCCAAGTGATCAAATACATGTAAATCCCCTGTTTTTCTGGTTTTGGTTTTCAGATGTTGGTCTTCACACCTTCTTCAGCAAACAAACATCCTTGAAGAATCTGACCCTGAAGAAACTGCCACAAGTCACATGCAAAGCACTAGAGGCTGTGTGCTGTCCAGACACACTTGTTGAGGTTAAAGTTCACTGCAGTAACATCAGCAATAGAGGTGAAGGAACTAGTTTGGAATTCCCTCTGTCATTTCATCCATGCATTGATTTCTTACATTATTTCAGGTAGCTTGATCATTATTTTGTGTACTGTTCTGGCATAGATCTAAGCTTTGAATGAGCAGGAAGGAAGAGGGAAAGGAGATTTTTGAAGTCAGACACTTTGCTTGATAAAAGCCTAATTACACCTGTTGTATTGTTTGCTAGGCTCGTAGTACTGGATTACTTTTCTCTATTCTTTTTCTTTTGCTCTCACTAAGAGCTAACTTTACCCTCATGTCCCCACTGACAGCTTTCAATGGATGAGCCATTGAGCCTGTATACTTAATGGATTCACCGAAGCCTGAAGTATAAACTTGTCATTTGTGTGTAGGTATCCAAAACCTTGTGACTAAGAACCCAAAGATACGTAAGCTAGCATTTGGGACTTCAACACTCAAAGTCTCAGATGAAGTCGTGCCTGTTTGTGCTTCAGCACTTGGCAGCAACTTGGTAAGCAATTTCACGTAATGCTGTAATGAGGAAAATCCCATTTATTTTCGAGCTGTTATTGAGTTAGGAGGAACTAAGTCTGTAATCTGGTTTGGATTACCATTTAGTTTCTAATTCATTATTGAATGGCACTTACGTAACAATGGTGAGTTGAAGACAGGTAACAGAAATCTGGTTGCAGAGAAAACATGACACTTCCTGGTAGATCATGCAAAAAGGAGATTGAAATGTTTGATGTAATAAGAACTGAGATGAATACCAACAAGTTAGAATTTTTTTGCTTTTTTCTTTAAGAAGTATACACAAACTGTGTACTTTGTGCTGTAATACTTAAGAGCTTGCAATTTTAAAGGGACCAGGTAAAAGAAATGTTTTACTAAAATTCTGGAAAAGGTAACTTTGTGTTTCAACTAACTTGATATTCGATATTTGTTTTACTTCATTATCTGTATTTTTGGGTATTGTTGGTTTCTGTGCTAAGATGAAGTTGCTTATATGTATTCACGAACAAGCCACTGAACCTTAATGTTCCCTTGATTTGTAACAAGAAATTGTTAGATTTTTTATACTTCACTATTAAAGATTTCCACTACCTCTGGGAATTATTGTGTAAGTCTATGACAACAAGCCAGCAAGCATACTTTTCTCAGAAATATTTTCCAAAAGCATATTTTGGGTTGAGCATTTGAATATGAAAACATGCACACTGAGTAGTGTCTTGCTTGATGTATATGTACATCACACTAACAGCTCCTTGCTCAGTTGATAAAACATGGTCAGTGTTGGAATGTTTAAAAAAGTAAGGCAACTCCACCAAGATTTCAGTTTTCATACATTACAGGAGAATTTAAACATTCACAACAAGTGATTCTCAGGAAAAGTCACTGCATTAATTCTTGAATGAAGGTTTAACACAAAATGCGAAAGAACCTCATTGTGTGAAATAATAGTGTTTGAGTCAGGTGTTATTCCGGCATTCTTTGCTGTGCACAGATTGATCTGAACATTTCTGATGTAAACACTCTGAGTGACAAGAGCCTGTCCTTGATTGGAGACAATTGTCCTAATTTGATCCGGTAAGTGCTCCCTCTAGGAACTAGGCAAGAATTTTTCATGATAGGATGGGAAGAGGTTGTTAAAAAAGGTGAAATTCTGAAACTTGGAATTATGGAGGAGGAAATATGGTGTGACGCTGAATTTGTTCATGGCAGAAAACATTTGCAGTGAAAAAAAGTTGTGTTTATGTATGTCTATTCTTACCGGCTCAGCTTGTTATTACTTGAAAACTTGCAGTGTCTTGAGGTCAATAGATAATATTCCCCCTCCCTGTTTGAGGGAAGGGGGCATGTGGGGGATACTTTTGCCTTTCTTAGCATGTAGGTTATCTCTGTGTTACTCATCTATGACTTTGTTTGCATTATCTTGTTTAGAATTGGCCTGATGGGTTGCAACAGGTTCACAAGTGAAGGTTTATTGCCGGTAAGTTGAGTTATCTGATTTCGGTAAGTTGAGTTATCTGATTTCGGTAAGTTGAGTTATCTGATTTCGGTAAGTCGAGCTATCTGATTTCGGTAAGTCGAGCTATCTGATTTCGGTAAGTCGAGCTATCTGATTTTGTGGGTGCAGTTGACCTTAACCACTTCACGCCGGGCCCATATGTCCATGTTGATTCTGCTGGGCCGGGTGACTTTTCATTTTTTTCTGTTTTCAAAATTCTTTAAAAATTCATAACTTCATTTACTGGACATTTACACCCACACAAATGACTGTCTGGTGGCTTCTCTAATCCGACAGACAACATCTATTGATGCCCAAGTATTTCGACCAGGCCTGCCGCCTTGTAAAAAGAGCCCAGATTATGCAGTGTTATGTAACTTTCTTTTGTTCCCGAAACTGGCACAGTGCACTGCTGGTGTCTTTTTAATAGGGGCCAGATTAGCGTGCAGCGGTATTGTATCACTCATCACTGGATCACTGGAGTGCTTTTGTCCCTGGTGGTAATCCGCTTGCACTGAACGCCACAAACAGTAATATAATCTCTCAAAATAGGGACAGATTTCCTCCACTTTTGACAACTGAAAAAATGTTAGCAATTCCCAGCAGCTCGGTCTTTTGTTCCGATTACGGTCTTTTTCTATAAGGCCTAGCTCTTTTGTCCGGTTTCGTGTATAAAGCCCATATCCCAGAAACCGGGTACACCAGCACGAAGTGGTTAGTTATACATTATGTAGATTCAATTTTGTGGCTACAGTGTAGCCGCATCCGTGCAACCACGTAACCTTGTTACAAATGAGTGCTTGGAGCGGACAATTTTATGTCACTGCAGATGTTTTCACTCGTTGAGATTCTGATAAAGAACTCAAAGGTATTGTTTGCATTGTATTGTAGTTTGGCAGGGGAACCCCTCAGTTCTCTACTTTTGAATGACCTAGACATCTGTCCTGGTTTCTCACAGCTGTTGGAAAACTGCACCAAGCTGCAAGAATTAGACCTGTCCTTCTGTTACAAGGCCCTGGAACCATCTAGCTCCAACGTTCTAGAACACCTGCCACTCGCCATCACCTCACTCTCTCTCAGCGGGCTGCCAGTGGAAGGCACTGCACTTAACAAGGCCCTGGCACGTCTACCCAAGTTGAGTGAGCTGCGGTTATGTGGTGTCAACAATATATCAGACGAGGACATTGAAGAGGTAGACATGAACTTCTTGAAATAAGTGAAGACTGTGACACTTATCCCGTCACAACCATCGTAATAACGGTAATGCTGAGACCCTTTTTGTCCCTCATTTTTTGCAGTGGAGCAATTAAAATTCAGAACTAAAGGTAGTTCCTTTAGTAAGAGAAAGTTGAGTGAACAGGGGATTGGGGGAGGGGACAGTGAAGGCATTGATATGCCTTTTGGACTGTAACAACCAGTGTTTTTTTTTGTTCAAGATCTTCAGCAGCATTGGAAGTCGTCTAACGATCCTAGACATGAGTGGGTGTCACCAGTCTATGACTGACCATGCCTTGCGGTCTGTCCTAAAGTACTGCACAGAGCTGGAGAACCTGTCAATCTCGTTCTGCGTACGTCTCACAGGAGAGGCCTTCATCAATTTATTACGGGACCCCCGTAGGGCCAGGAACCTGACCAGTCTAAAACTCAATGGCTTGAAAGAGGTAATAATTGAGAAACTTGTATTGATTAGTTACTTTTGATACAGTTCTGCCACATGAGGTGTGTATATCAGGTCTGTGAACATCCTGGAGATAGAAAGGATCTCTCAGGTCTCTGATGTCTGTGACATTTCCGCAGAGAGGGTAACATTCATGTTTCTGTTGCTCTGTCCCGTTAGATTTCACACTCTATACTGGTTGGAATAGCTACGACCTGCCCCAACCTGGAGACTATCTATCTTGGAGGCTTGAAGTGTGTCGATGATGCCCTGCTCTCTGACATTGCAAGCAGCTGTCCTAAACTGCGTGACATCTCCATTAAGAGCTCTACAGGAGTACACTCACATCAGGTAGAGAGTCATCAAATCATGGCAATTTCCCTGTGCTGGAATGTCACCACATAAGATTTACAGTCAGTGCTGTCCACAAACTTGACAAAATTTTACTTGTCAAAGCTTGTGTGAGCTCAACTCAGGTGTAAACAATCTAAACTTTTTCTGATATGTTCTCTGGCAGCCCAAGTATTATTAATTCAAGTCAATAAAGACAAAGAACCCTAAAATTGATGTGTTGATAATTTAGGGAAGCCAAATTTCCATCAGTAGGTTATGGATTCACCCATTAGCAGTGTAGAGATTAAAATGTTCTAAAGTACATCAATGGCTTGTGAGCATATTATGATTTTTAGTCGTTGGCGCCAGTGAGGGATAATTTTGGGTGACACCAAGGGGTAACAGAGACGGTGCTGTTTAATGGCGACACATGCTCTCAGCTCTGATGATTTGCAATTTTGTACACACTGTTAAATGCAATCTCTGCTGTTTCACTGAAATCACACAGTAGTGATGATTTACTTCTTGTGAGGTATGTATTCAACCTTTTTTGGAGAGCTCGGGGAGCAAGCGAATCACTGACATTAATTGTTCAAACCGTTTCATAGGTTGAATAAACTATTATCTTATCTTATCCCTGATCTGGTAGGTTACAGATGCTGGCCTTCTTGACTTGATACAGTACTGCCCTCTTCAACATGTTGTCATATCTGGCATTCATAAGATTACAGACAGGTGTGTCTTGGCTCTTGCCAACTCCTGTCCAGACTTGAAGAGTCTGTATGCCTCAGGTTGCACCATGATCACTGCTGCAGGAATCAGATACCTCAAGGTTAGTGCCAAGCAATTCTTTCTCATAAACGTCTTATTGGCAAGGGGCATTCCAACCTGTGACTGTCTGAGTTTTTTTGGCAAATGCACAATCCAGTTTTGATTTGGAAATGTGAAACTGCAAGACTACTAACATTGGGAAAGATTATAGCTAAATGGTGGGATACTTGGGTGATATCTTAGGAGTTACAGGTGTGAATCCACCATTGTACTTTGTTTATCCAAATACTGAGGTAGAATAGGACGATGAAGACATGAAACCTGTACAGTTTAAGTTTAACTTTATTGTGAACATTGTCAATAAATGTACCTTTTTCTTTTGCAGGATATGTGTAATAACAGAGTCCATGTGGTGCATAAGATTCCTAACCTTGATCCAAACCAGGTCATGGCTAAGAACTTGGACACGGGAGAATTTTGCCGAGTGGATCAGATGTACTGACGGAAGGTTGGATAGCAAACACGACTCTCTTTTGAAATGTTGTCAGGCTAATGTGGAATGTGACTGGTTACTTTGAGGGTTTCATGAAATCTCATGATTATTATGTCATATGAGCATATGTATTATATTCTCAGTAGATGCAGTTGGTGACTTTTAGACTTCCAGTGAAATATCATTGGTCAGTTGAAGCTGCTTAGTATGCGTATTGGTAACCTACTAAATCTCTAATGAAATTTCATTGGTCAGTTGGTATCAGTCTTTCAATGGATATTATTGGACAGTTTCTTCAGCTTCCAATTATTCATCATGGTCAGTTGGAGCTGTAAAAAAATCTCATTGGTTGTCATCTATGGCTCCCATTAAACCTTATCGGTTAGGTATTTGAATTGTTGTCAAAGCTTATAGTCAGTTTCTTAGTTATCTTCTGAAGGTAAAACTTTGTAATCATTTATATGAAATCCTTGGAATGGAAGATTGTAAGTGGTCCTTTGCCACTTTGAAGGCAACTCATTGAAATTAGCATTTCTGTTTGGTTTCACTTGCATTTTCACCAGGAGAAAAATATTCCCATTCCACTTCATAAACAAAGAAAGTGCCCATAAAATGAAAACTTGGAAGCGCTTTGGTTGAGGAAACTTGCATTGAAAACACTATGGTAAGGAGTGGTCACATCCTATGCATGTGTGTAAATATGTACAAAGGGAAAAAAAGAATATATTTGTTGGTAAGATTTGTACGTTGCCAGCCGTTAGATATTTTTGTCAGGTTTAGAATTTGTAGTTGACATTTTTCAAAATGCTGTATTTTTACAGTAAAATATTTTCTCAGTTGATTGAGCTATGAAATTTGACATTTAATAAGTGTCTGGAAATCTTGCAACCTTCAATACTGCCCGAATCTGAAATTTCAGACTTACGATGTATTTTCTTGTTTGCATGTAAACTGTGTTGTCTGCTGTACTCATCATTCTGCAGGTAACCTCTACCTGGCTCATTTTCCTGTGACCAAATTCCATAGTAGTAAAAGTATGCTTGAGAGATTTAGAGAGGACTTCACATAATAGTTGTAGATAGACCTTTTTCCTGTGATGTCACAATCTTGCTGGACCGTGATGTGTTGTCATGGTACTGAGTGCAAAGTGTTGTGATGGCAATCTTCTTATTCAAGATAAACTAGTCAAGCATGTAGCGTCTGCATGTGCACTTGCACGTGGTGGAAGCTGCCCATAGGAATACATGCGATGACTGTGGCCAAGGCAGTGCAATCCAGTCACATGAGTGAAAAAGGTCTAAAGTGCCGTATGTGTGGCTCACTTGTACATGTACTTATGATAGCCAAGGAAGGACACATCACATGTTCAATCAGTTTGAAGCAAATGAACAAATAAGGAAAGATGCCCATGTGAGGGAAATGCATTTGATGGTGGGTAAGCTGAAGCCTAGTAAGTTTGACATGGCATTAAGGGTTTGCATTTTATCGCTGCTGTTGTTCTTAATGGGTATTATTTTTACATTTTTTATGTTTTATAAGAACTTGTTGAAAAATCAGTTGAACAAAGACTTGATTATTTTAAATGGTCTGGTTTCAAATTGAGCAATGAGGGATGATATTGAACAGGCCTCAAAACTGTAAGCTTTAATACTTGTGAAAATGTTAACATGACATTGAAGTGGTCATGTTACTACTGCCAAGGTCTTTATGTAGCTCTGCAGTTAATCAGATTTTCACAGAACTCGTTTCTGTTTAATTGTGCAATTACTAATTTAGGAATGCATTTGAAAGAAATGTGCTTCTTTCTTTATTGTCACAATTTTCAATGCAATGTAGGTACATGCAATATGTATGCATGCTGCTGATACCAAGTCAACTATCTACTTTGTAACTTTGCATTGTACATGTACTTGTCATTAGAGAATTACACGAGTTAGTTTTAATCAAAATTGTAATATTTACTGACGTGTTATAAACTGAAGCCTAAATAGAAATAAAGATTGTAAAGTTGCAGAATCTTCTCTTTTTGGAGTTTGGATATTAACATCTGCTTAAGATATTGCTGAAATTTAAAGTTTATGTGCAGCCGCTATCTTGGATGTGTATGGTGCCCTCTGTTGTCAAGATACCTTTCACAGAATTTATAATAATGCTCTCTGGTATTGGTTGAGGTATTGTCTGCACGATGTAAAAAAAAAATGAAAGCAGTGTCTGTTGCGGTTTGAGTGATCATCTCTAGCTTTCACCCCCCCATACACGTAATATCCTTGATGGGGATATTAATCAGGTGTTGTATGTTCAAGTCATTTGAGATACTGACGTTCCTCAGTGGCTAGAAGGCCATTTGAAAGGCATGTTAATGTTCAGCATTAGTGTCCACATAACATTTCTTGAGAGTAAGGGATATTTACCATCTGCATTTCTTTCTTAGTGTCATGAGAGAGTTTTGAAGACTGCAGAAGAAAAAGTATGCCATAGACACAAATCATACCAAAACTACCTTGGCTTAAAATTTATTTCACTACTGTTTCTTTTTTATTGATTAACCTCACAGATTACAACTAGGTAAAAATCCAAATTCTTAGCTCAATGCATCATAGGTGAAGAATACAATGGATAAAAAACCAACTGAATTGTGACCTTTTTTCATGCCCATTTGAAGCTGTTTCTTGCAGAAGGGTGCAGTGGTAAGTCAACCACCATCAGTTCTTCATAGATTCTCAACACCCTTTGAAGATATGCTGGAAGTAATGTGCGCAGAGGGAAAAAGTTTAACCATTCCCCCAAACAGGTCTAAACATACAAATCAACAAGAACACACTATGAGCCTCGAGCTGGACCAAGAAAGGGTGCAATTTTCTTAGCAATGGAAGGCTAGTTTGGTCGAAACTGCACATTACTGGTACATGAACGATTATGAAATGCATGCATTACGGTCGCATTGCTACCATCGTGAACAGTCCTGACCAATATGGCTCTTGTTAACCGATGAGGGGGTGCTTCTGCTCACCATGGTTACCTTGTACCAAAGGCAGGAAATGGACCAACCCCCCTCCTTGCAAGCAAAAACACTGCATGTGAGAGGATTTTACTTTTGAGTTCACTGATGCATTGCACAAGGGTGTGAGATTTCTACTGAGTACATGTATATGTATGTTTTCAATCTTTTACAGCACTCGTCTTGGAATACAATGTACATTGCAGTTGACCACTCAACTTTCAGCATGAACTTGCCACTTCAACTGGTTGGGGAGACTACTTTGACCTCTGACCTCCCTCACTGGGCTTCCTCTGGGACAATTGTCAGAGTCAATTTCTGTGAGCTGGGACCCCTAACGACCGACACTTCCATCTTCTTCAGAGTGTGCACGGCATTGTAGACGGCTGTTGCAGATTTGACTGCTTTCCCATCGATGTGGGTGATAATGTCTCCTGCCTTCATACCTGCCCTGTTCAAGCAATGGCACAAGTCGATTTGTGTTCAAGTGCTAAGAGTTAACAAGGTACCTGTGGTGACATTTAACGTTAACCATAGTAAATGGTATTGAGATTGGCTCTTGGTGTTGTCATGTGGAACTTTTGTTTTGGGGGCAAAAATTAGTTACACTTACACCTGAGCAGGTGACCCAACGATGATCCTGTACACAAGCACCCCGTGTGTTACATCAGGAAAATCTGCCATGCGGGACTTGAGATCATTGAGCATGCCAGGGTTGAGAGACAACATGGTGATGCCGATGTAACCTCTTTTCTCACCCTCTACCCCAGGGGATTTCTTGCCACCTGAAAACCAGCCTGTCCACCCTTTGCCAGCATCTTGAGAAGGAAATAATATGACATGCATTTGGTTCAAACGGTATTTTCTGTTGGAATGAGATTTACCAAACCATTAACCCTAATCAATTTACATCTCTCCGGTGCAAATCCATCTTTGAAATAGTGAAAAATGATGGTTGTGATTCATTCAAAAAGTAAATGTTGTAATCCCACAAAAACAAATGGATTATACATACCTTTAAGAAGTGTTTACAGGAAATGAGGCCACTGTACATTTCTAGGAATTTTTTCTCAACAACTGTTGAATTACTTTTCAGAAAAGGTCCGCAGGAATACTTCAAGCATTCCAACCCTACCTTCTGACTTCATTCTTTTCTGAACTTCCTCCAGGAATTCCCTAGCATTGTCAATGGGAATGGCAAAGGAAATTCCGGAAGTCACCTTCATGGTGTTGATTCCTATGGCTTCTCCATCCAGATTGACCAGTGGACCACCGGAATTGCCAAACTGGGTGGGAAGAAACAGGAAAAAATCTAACAAGGGTAACTTGGATGGATAGTAATTTGGCCTTCAATCATGTCTACATCAAACAGAAAAGATCTCACAAGACAATGTAAACTTGGAATTAACAAGACATTGGCTTAAGGCATTGAATGTGACAACAGACAAGGGCTATTGCTGTTCATTGTTGAGTTAAGGAGGGAGAAAATGAAACCTTGGCAAGGATAGCTCACATTGATAGCAGCATCGGTCTGGATGTAGTCAATGTCCTTCCTAAGTCCCAATTCTTTGCTGGTTCGGCTCACAGTGCTGACTATGCCTGCTGTGATGGTGTTGCTCAATGTCAGGGGACTACCCATAGCGATCACCCACTCGCCTGGCCGAAGTCGGGATGATTTGCCTAGCTTCATGACTGGCAGGTTGTTCTATGCAGCCAAATTTTCAAAATGAGTGATAATTCGTGAAAAATATCGATTTTATATTACACATATTACACTAGGAGTAAAGACAGGGTTTTGCTTAAAAACTGGTACAGTTATCTTTATAAGCATTATCTGCATCACAGCAGACAATACATGTACTTATAAGATATAAACTGTACATACGCCATCATCAATTTTGACGGCAGCAAGGTCAGAGACAGAGTCCACTGCAACCACATGGCCATCTACCATCCGTCCATCTGGCAGCTTAACCTTGACTGACTGCTGGCCACGGATCTTGTTAGCAACAACGTGAGCGTTGGTAAGGACGAGGCCATCAGGGCTGACGATGAACCCTGACCCATTGGAGATTGGTATCTGCTGCCTGCCCATCATGGGATGCCTGGTAGTGGAATAGGAAGGACAAACAAAAGTGTCATATAAATGTAATGACAACTTACAAGGAGGTAACTTGACGAACCACAGATCTCGACAATGGCCATGATGGCTGCTTTAGACAAGCCTGTCTGTCAATGCAAATGTGTCAATCTTCTTTGTGTTTCCTACCAAAAATGGATTTGACTGAATTGAGGATTATTATACGAGAACATTGGTTAGATTTCACCTAACCTTCCTTGGATTTCTATGTAGACTACAGAAGGTGCTGCTCTATCCACTGCATCAGCTATGAAGTTGAATCGGTGAGAGCGAGGAGGAACATAGCCATCACCTTCATCAAAAACTTTTGCTGCTTTGACAATGGGAAAAACACTCTTCCTCTCCTCCTCAGTGACGGGACGAAGTGACTCATTGCTCAAGCTCACATTATGATCACTCCCAAACTGTTGCAAATTTTCACCAAGATTCTGTCGTTCTTCAGCTTCTTTTAAGGCCTGTAGCTTTCGGCGCTTCTTGTCTCGACGGGGTTCCAAGTTAGCGAAATCTATTTTGCGCACGTAAGGCGAAATCGCTACCAGGATCACTATCGCAGCAATGTACTGAAACATCTTTTTTTGGAACACTCTCTTGTTCTTTTCCATTTGCTCTTGTGTGATGGTTCTGCATATTGCTGTTTGTGGCTTAACTGACTGTAATATGTGACAATGTGCGGTATAAACTGGAACTTTGCTCCGGAAAATCGGGAACGATTGCATTACTCTTTTGATCATGGAGGCCGCCATCTTGTTTTGAAACTCAATTTAGTCGGGATCCCCAATACGTTGCATCATTGCACGACATCCACCAATGCCAGAGAACTTTGAGAAATTTTTGTGTACTAGAAACAAGACTGCAGTAAACTACTATTCTCCGACGGCTGTTTGTAGTTCGGCAGAAATTATGAAATTATGGCGGCGATTTTAACCTTACAAGGTAGAGGTCTGGATATAAATCTTTCGGATGTCAAACGTGATTTGCAGAAAAGTATCACAGAATGTTCACAAAGGGGGCTTTCACAAAGTGTGAAATGGTGAGAGCAACTGTTCAAGCTAAATTAATTGGTGTCAAAATTATGCCTATTTTTAAGGGCCCAGTTTCTGGACAATCGTAACAGTTCTGAGTTGGCCTGGGCCTAACGTTGGGATATTTGTGATGTAGCCTAGTAGCCCCACTAGTGTGGCACGGGCTCTCACTCCCGATCCATGGATCCGGAGTGAGAGTCCGTGCCACACTAGTGGGGCTAATGTAGCCTAGGCTTATCGTTAATGTTCGTACTGTACGTTTAGCTGATCTGCACATCCGGCCGAGCAAACTGTGCGAATGGTTAAAGAATTCTCCAACTTTGGAGAATTTTAAATGTAGCTCTCCCTTCTATTGTAGGAACAGGGTTCCCAAATTTACAATCCCCTCTTCTTCATGTTAGGCCTGTGAATATTATAATAAAATAAAGTTTGAGTGTTCATAATCCAATTAAAAAGCATACGTTTAAAGCTGTAACTTTTATATCTTGGATGCAGTTGGTGATATAGTGACTTTTTTCATTTTTAAAAAGGTGTGCCGAGTTATCGTTTGCTCTGAAAAGTGTAAAGCCCACACCCTTGGAACAAGTGGAGGACAGAGAGGTAGGTCAATAATGCCCCTAGAAGTAAGGGGTCGTAACGGGAGCATGGTGTGATGACAAACCCCATAGCTCTTGGGTTGGTCAACAAGTTAGATGCTCCTTCTGCTCCGGGGTTGACGTACATGTATGTTGTACATATATTGCAGTGACACTCTTGTTGAAATAAGTATCACTGTTGGACATG